TTCTAGACTTTCTAGGGGCCTCCTCTCAGCTCAGGGCCCCAGACAGGAGCCTGCTCTGCCAATCTTATTGCAACACCTTTGAATGTGCTGCACAGGTGTCGTTTGTATTGTTTGTCTGAAGCATGTCTTAATCTTCTTGTCCTGTCTTATTCAGGTACCACTTGGCATTTGTGATATTTACAAATGATTTGATGTCCTTAGTACCATGAATGCAAACCGCTGGAGCTTTGTCCATTTGGTTCTAGTGTGAAAATATTTTTTGTGTGAAATGAACACAAAAAACATTTATTTCAATATTAGGTGGATATGAACTACACTGAGTTCTATTTCAACAACAGATAACGTGAGATTAACTTTTGCATGAGAACATTAAAAAGCATAAAAACTACAAAGTTTGTCTATCCATCTGCTGAAACAGCACACACACACACACACACACACACACACAGGTTTGTATATTTTCAAACCTCATTTGCAACATTCGAGAAACTTTCTCTCTCTTAGTGTAAGATTCCCTGAGGCACTTAACAGATTCTGGTAACATGCACGAGCATGATCAGAAATCAAAGTCGCCTTATTGGAGTTGGATTCCCAACTCTGAGCTCAGCGTAGCGTTTCCAAGCTGCGTGCTGAATCACAGGCGCAGGGATTTCAAAACAGCTGAGAAGCTCCATCCACAGCCCACATGAAGAACACCTAAGCAGATCTAGTGGGGGGTGAGTTGGCATGAAGACACCGGCTCATCCATTATTATTAGAACTGCATAATACCATAAGAAAATAAAGTGATCGTGCTGCATTCATGTCACGTGGGAATAACTGGAGAAATGACTCATGGATAGAAGGCAGAGGGGTGGATGTGTTCATGTCTGATGCACTTTGAAGCCATAATGACACAGTGACTGCAGCTGTCCTCCACACAAGCCTTTTCACATGTGCACTTGGTTATGGAGTTCATGTTTTACAGAAAGCCAAACATAGACATGTGAACCACAAATGACTAATCCAGCACGGTGGATGCTGGATTGTGGCATTTTTACTTGTCAGCAGAAAAGAAGATTGAGGTTGTGCAGTTCTTTAGGTTTATTTTAACGTGAACGTGTGATGCCATACCTCTACTGTTGGTCCGACTTAAATACTTTTCTCATCACTCCAAAGCTCAGCTGTGTGGTTTTTAAAAAAATGTTGCATCTTGGCTAAAAATTACTTTATAATATTCCACTTACCAACATTGTTTTTGACCAGAGACCATAAAAAAAAAGACGAACAATGTTTTAGAGAAACAGTTTCTATAATGAGCAAACACTTTGGCGACTGTGGAGAGAATAAACTCCCCAAAACCATTTCTTTGAATTTATTATTTCAAAAAATGTCAATCCATCTAGCATTTATACATTAACAATAAATTGTCTACAATAACCCTCTTATGTATTTCTAAGATATAAGGTATGAGGATGTTTGTCTCCTGTCAATAAATAATAATTTGCATTTACTGATATGAGTTCACACCAATGCTGCTGCTTTAGTAATTGTTGATACATGTGTGCAAATCATCCACAGGCAAGTTTGGAACTGTTTATAAATGAGATGAAGAGATGACGAGCTGGAACAATCAAAAACCATGTGAGGAACTCCTCTTCTGGAGCTTCAAGCTTCATCTGGTGGCCCTCATCAGCAGATGCAGTCGGCTCCAATGTAGCACAATTATTATAATGGTTATACTATTTATATGCTGCTTATAAATTCTATAGTGGTGTTAAAATAAGGTGTGAGCAAATAAAACCTTTCACATCATTAAGTCACTGACTGTTATGTCACACTTCACTTTTACATGTACTCGCTTCACACATTATAAAATGCAGCATGTGTTCAAGTTTTTTTTCTCCTAGCTTTAATGTTAACACTAAGTATGCAGAAGAGTTCCATGTGTAACATACATTACCTCCCACCCAACATGCGTAGGCTTTGCTCGTGTTTGATCCCACCGCTGTGTTCCAGTGATGATCAAAGATCTGAGGCAGGCCCCGTCCTCGCAGCTCTGATCACACATTCATGGGTTTTTAAAGCCGTGACAGTGGTTGTTCCCACATCTGCTCCAACCTGGGACAAAAACTACCCCTATAAATAAAACCTGAATATGTGTTCTCCATTTTCATACTCCTTGTCATATTGAGTCTTTTATTTTAGCAGGATAAGCACATCATCCCCTTTATTTGTGACAGCAGACAGTTTTCATGGTCTGGTCTGCATTAGTCAAAAGAAGATAAAAATAGAGAAGATAAAAATAGGATCATCTACACAGCTTCATCACCTGAGGAAGAAGAGTCTTCTATTTGCATTTATTCAAAATGTGGAGCAGCTTATAATAAATGGCCTGTGTTCATAGTAACACTTTAAGAGGGAAGTCAATTCATCTTCGGTTTCATTATATTTTCTGAGCCTTTGGTCAAAGAAAACATTCTTTACA